TGAAAGTAGGCACATTACATCTAGGGAAGCAAGTGTTCACAGTTTTCACTGCAATACTGGATACCTTCCTGCTAATTTTCAGGTCTCCTTGTCCAAAAGACCATAAATATTTACAATGTTTTCCTGTATGCCTATGGAATGTAAGTATGTAAACACCAAACTTGTAGAGAAATCATTTAATGAGGTTCAGACCCAAGACATGCCTATTTAATATAAGTACAAAAATAAATCGCTATTAATATTCCTTATCTTATTATCCAGTGGTATTATATACAGGGAAAGTGTCCCTGTAGAGCTGAGTTCAAAAGCAGTGCTGCCACCAAGACAGCAGTTACCACATCAAGTGACATTGGCAAATTAGGACATAGATTCTTCTCTCATCTGACCATTTTAAACCCACATTCAAGAGGTCTTTATCAGATTGACCATTTCTTCTGACTCCTGCTGGAAACAAAAATTGCTTACGGGCGCCTAAATTCCCTAAATATGTCTATTCTGTATAATGCCATTATGAATTGTTATAGGGGTGTGGCACTTTAATCAAGATGCGGCGAGGAGGTAATGAGTGAAGCAATTATTTCATATGGTAGTAAGAAATGCTTTAAGATATTTTATCTTTCATTAGAATCTAGTGTGTTATTTATCAGTGCAAATGCAATTGCAGAACAGGTTTGTACAGGAAATGAAGAAACTTCAGTGAAAGTAGATGTAGGATAAAATCAACATTCAATTTAGCTCACTCTATTTAAAAGGAGAATATCCACATCAGTTTTGGCTCAGGGACACACAAAATATTTTCTGTTTGGAGCCTTAAATTAACACCTAGCTGAAATAGATGTTAATATGCTTTAGTGATTCAGTGTACCAAAACTAAATTTATCTTCTAATTAAATGAGAGAAACAGTCAAAACCTAGCATTCCGTCTATCTTAATGAATTCCTAAAGAATAGACAGTGTTTAATAGCCTCTTTTGACTTAGTTGTGGTAAGAATGGTAGAGGGAAGGAATTTAAAACTAATGAGTCTAAATATGTTTTTTCATCATTTACAAGTGCAATTGAAATGATTCTTATTTGTTTCAAAGTAATTTTGAAGGGAATGAAAACAGGTTTTTAACTTGGCCAATTGTCTAATCTCAAAAAGGTGTAATGATATAAAATTACCACTCCCTCCTCGGAGCAAAAGCAATTATTAAAATTTGCTAGCCTGACTGCTTGGGATTTCATTTGACTTCTTACTGCAGAGAATGTGAACATTGCCAGCAAATTCAAATTATTAAAGAGGGTTTATTTTTGCTACTGAACTTGACAGTCAAATTTGTCTACAGGTTGTAAATCCATTTTAAAGGATTTTGAAGAGTGGTGATATATCAGATGTGCATTTGCTCCTTTCCATTCTACTTGATTAGCTCTTGATACCTCACAATAGTTTGTGTGAAAAATTGGCAAATTTGGGGGAATTTACTCAGCATTTTGAATTTATAACAAAAGCCCATGACTTGGAAAGTCCACCTTGGCTTGCTATAATACAAACATCTTTCAAAGCCATGGAAAACAATTGACCAAAATACGAAGGAACACAAAAAAATCTCGAATCTGAAAATTTTGAGCACATCTGCAAACACTTCAGGATAAAAAAATCCTTGGACTTTTAATGTCCCAAATGTGTTGGAGGGGGCTGTTTCCCCTCTCCTCAGAACAGCACATCCATTCACTCCTTTTGCTTTCATCCCTACTCAAATCAACATTGGCCCTTACCGACCTACAGGATATAAGATGTTTTTTCACCTCTCTAAGTCTCCTGTCCCTTCCACAAGTGTTATTAATGTTAGGAGTCATACTGATTTCATCCTATTCCTGGCAGTAAACATAACAGCTTTTGTCTCACCAACTGATGAGGCACAAGGGCTACCCCTGTACTTGTAAATTCAGCAGTGTCAGGATCTGTGCTCCGATCCTCTGGCCAGCTGGCACGGACTAGTCTTGTTCATACTATTGAAGTCTCATAAACAAGCTTGCAACATTCAAGCTACCTATTTGGAAATAGTCCTCAGCGTTTTCTAACTCTGGATCTATGCTGAGGGTTTGTTTGGGAACGTACTGGCTGTTCAGGGCCAGAACCATAACAGGGCCTGTTTTACCTGTTTAACAGTAGAGATGGCAAAATAGCAGTGTCAGGGACTGTCTGTCAGTTTGCCAATACAGACATAACCAGGTGGATTTCTTTTTAAGGATGTTCCTGGATGTCCTTCTGGATCCACAGTCTCCTCTGCAGCTGGTGGGGCACTTCCAAGTGAGGACTCGTCATCTCTCCCCTCCCAGCCTAGGCAGCTGCAGTACAAGTGAGGAGAGGACCCCTCGGAAAACACTTCTTCACTATCCTTCTCCTGTCTGTGGAAAGGGAGAAAAGTCTGATTTTTGCTGTATAGGGACAGTAGCGCTTCTTTTTTACAGACAGTGGGGAAATCAAAAATTTCTCATGGGTCAGAGTTTTATGGAGGAGAGTCTGAAAATTTTTGTTTTTTGAAAACAATACTGCAGAGAGGTTCATTTTCAGAAGATTCATTTCAACTAACACCTTTGAAAATCTGTCAAAATCTTATGTGTTTACAAGTAAGAGATACTATTTCCCGTATTTCAGAAAGAGCAGGTTAACGGCCCGATCTTTCCAACCCAATGCAGAGAGGTCCTTAAGAGAGCTGGGGCAGCAGCTTTATCTCAGTCCCACACAAGCCTGGCTCTGCTTTGAGATTTATTCCTGCAAATTGACAGCCACAAGCTCCAAATCATGAAGCTGAAGTGTAAAAAAAAAATCTTTTTACTGTATTAAGGAATAGCTTGCATAATATTAAACTTCCAAGATTTCTATTTCTAATTTTATCATGGCCTGTTTTTTTAAGTTTTTGTCACACAATAAGAAGGGCAGAGTCACATCCTTGCGTCTTGTGATGAGGTATGTAAGTCAGCTGAGTCCTAGTGCGAAAAAAGAAAACAAAGCACTTCTAGTTCACCCCAAACACTTCTTTTAATTGTAGTTCATTTAATTCATCATGAGCCTGTCATCATCAGCCTGTCAGTTTTGAGGCAGCAGAATAAACAGATTTTCAGAGATGCTGTTGGCTTCAAGCGTGACTCTTTTTTATTGAAAAAAAATTTAGTTCTGTTTGTTTGCTACAGAATATTTTCCTTGATGTTGTTTTTACGCTGAACTGAGACTTGGCAATGTATTCCATCGGAATGTAACACTGTCATGTCAGGTCAAAAGGGAAAATGCCAGTCGGTGTTTCCCAGTGGCTGTACACACGTGAAGTTATGTCCTTTCATTGAACTCAGCCTTTATCCCTGAGAAAGAACTGTTATTTTAGCTTGCATCACTGCAGATATTGTCAGTCATAAACATATGCAGCTTTTTATGTCTTATGTTCTATAGTCAAAGAAAAATGTCTATTGACCTTGTTATGAAATATTATCAATTCTAACTTTCCAGAACCAATCTTCCTTTTTCTTCCTCCCTCCCATCCTTCCTTCTTCCCTTGTTTCCTTCTTCTGTCTGTCTGTCCTCTCAGATCGAATTTTTTCAGGGGATGGGCAGAGGGGGAGGGGTGTAATAGCAAGGCCTAGACCTTGGACCAGATTTATACTAAGTTTTGGCAGTGATTGCCTGTATAACTGATTCAAGTAAAGCCCTTTCATGTCTTTTGTTTCTAAAACAGAGATGAATAATTCTTACCTTTTCCTGTTAACTCTTTAAAGAGTAACTGTATAAAAATGTATTATTATCTCTGCTAGAATCCCTTCCAGTAGTGTTTAAAAGCTTAGAGAGAATGAAAGGACAGGATTCCTTCATTCTTTGATTTATTTTGAATCTCAGCCTTTTGAATGACAGAAATGCAATGCCCATTACCTTGGAGATGGACATATCTGCAAATCTGTTAGAGTTAAATAACAGAGTACTGCTTGCACAAGCTGTAATTTAAAGGTTGAAAAATCTTGCACCATCCCTGAAATATAAAACCACAGATGCTCAGTTTCCCAACATGGCATTTTACAAAGCTCTGGACTACGTCCTTAAGTAAGTCCTTACACAGTCCTGTTTAGTTCTTTTGAAGGGAAATTATCTAATTCAATGTATCTCTTATTTCAACATGAATTGGTCTGAATGGAGACAAATTAAAAAATAAGAATGTATCTCTCTTGTTCTGTTTGATTGCTTAAATGGCAGTGGGAAATGAATCTTCTTCATTACAAAATAATATCCCTTTCTCACGTATCTCTGTCTAAGCACATTTTTAAGCATGTTACTTTTACTCAGTGCTATATTACCACAGGTCTCTGTCTGCAGTAGCCTGAGTTTATACCAGAGATGAGATGCTTTAGGACACTAAACCTCTGCAATAATTGTGAAGTTTTTAATTCTTTCTGAATTTTCCTATACATCCTATTAGAGAGAGAGAGGTCCAGCTAAGAAATTGAGTGACACATCTCAATTCTTGATACATGATCTTGATGTGATTACACTTGGAGTTCAAACTCCTATGTCATTTTTCTTGCAAAATAAATAAATTTACTGTAGCAATTCAATTAACCACAAATAAAGGAGGCTTGATTATGTTTTTCATCATGTTACAATAATATGTGTATACCAGGAAAACTCACAAGTGAGTTTCAGTGAAGTGCAACACACTTGGAACAAGCAGGTATGTTTCCGTCAATAGCCCTGTATAACACATTAGCTCAGGTCCTACAAACAATAGATCTGTATTAGCGTGGCAGTGGCCCTAACTAGTTATTCCTACCTCTGAGGAAGGGCTAATTACCATAAATGCAGTGTTACATTGAAACTGTTATATAGCATTTAGTCTAAATCAAGCTGAAATATCTTTAGAGTGATGCATTTCAGATATACACATACCTAGATACATCCAGCCAGATAGAAACTAATTGCTCATCTCCAAAAGTGTGTTTACACCATGATGTTGGTTAATTTCTGTGTTTATCCCAGGTTCCACCTCCTCGTATTGCAGACATGTTACTTCGGTCTGATTTGGAGCAGAGTGGTTCCTGCAGGGGGATGGGGGATACAGCTGAGAAGCAGGTCATGCTGGAGTCCACGTCATATCAAAAGGATATAGACCTGTCTATACCCCCATCCCCACAAGGCAGGGGCCTTCAGTCTTCGGTGGGTGTAAGGAAGGCAGATAAACCATGTCCATCCAGCTTTACAAACAAGCTGTCCTTGGTTTGGAAGGTTCCTGGATGAAACACTGACTTCTCCATGACTTAGCCATTTTTATTTTCCCTCCTCTGCCCAAGGTACACAATCAATTTTTTATCTGAGTACTAAGGTAAGGTGGGTGGTTAGAAATACCTTGACTGCAGAACAACTTGCAAATGAAATGCAAATGACTTTCATTTGGATGGTAAAGGCTAGGCCTCTGCCTTCTGAAATTTAGCTTACAACTGGAAATCAGCTTCTCCTTTGCTACATTTTGCAGTGAAGTCATAATTGTGTGTTTGACATTAGTCTGTTGCCATGGATAGCAGGAATCAGGGTACGACATGATGACATTAAAAGGTCACTTCAATCTCTAATGGCTATGGTTCTGGGAATGACTAATGGCATTGTACTGCTACAACTGTAGAGCTGGAACAACGTGATGAACTGTAACTGACTCCTGTTTAAGCATAAATATCTCTGAGATTTAGAAGAAAGAATGGCGAAACCATATTAAAAAGTGAATGGGTTTATTTTTCATTTTGTTCTTTTGAGTGAGATTGCATACGTGGTCATTGGATGGGGTCATTTCACTTGTACAAAAATATAACTTAGCAAAGTGGGTGTATCAATAAATTTTATTTCTGCTGTGACTCTATGATGGTATTTAAACTATCATCCCTGGTTAATACTTTGCAAGGGAATTACTTCAGCCAACAATCATCACTATTTTTATTTTCCTAGAAATATTTCAAGACTATCTTTAAGTTGTGACTCTTCTTGTCTAGTCATAGGAAATAAGGGATAATGTTTATTTTTAGAAGTACATATTTGAAGTGTCTAACTGAAACCACAGAGGTTATGCTTTGTTTGGGACAGTTGGATTTGATCTGGCAGAAGAGTATGACTGAGTCATTCTGAATTGTTAACGCAGCCCTGATGGTTTTGTCAGAAAATCTTTAGGCGATGGGAAGAAGATGGAGGACAGATTTCCACTACAGCAAAAACTATTAAAACAAAAACAAGCCCAGAATATGTTAATTGTGAAGGCCATTTTGTAGAATTTCTGTGTAGCTCTAATATAAATTTTTTATTTACTCATGCAATTTAACAGGAAAGTAAAAAAAAATATAAAGTCTTCCCACCATCCCTCTCCTTTTCTTTTTCTCTTTTCTTCCCCTTCCTTCCTTCCTCCCTTCCTTCCTTCTTCTCCTCCCTTCCTTCCTCCCATTAAAAGTGAATGCATTCTATAGTCTGTCTTTCTATTAAGCTGCCTATTTTAGCACTTAGCTGTACCCATTTTCCAGTTGTGGCATGTTTATTCATCAACCAGTGTTGCCAAATATGTGTTGCTCTATATTTCACTTTTACATGTAGAGGAGCTCATTGCACATTTTGCATTCTTGAGAACTGTTTGTAGAAGGTTTCCTTTGTTTGCAAATTGACATTTAGATCAAGCTACTATTCACTCCTGCTATGAAACGGTGGTGTCTCCACCTCCCTTTAAACAATACCCACAGCTTCATGATAGGTCTAAACAGCTCTGCTTCAATGCCATCTGTCAGTTATGTAATTTCATATCCACAGTTCCCACAACTTGTACTCCAGATGAAAATTTCCTCTTGTCCCTCAACCACTATTTCTCAGAAATATCATAGAAAGATAAAATGTCCAGAGAAGAGAAGAGCTCAGATTAAAACCTGGACAACCCACAGTGCTCTTCTCACTGTCGATAAAGACTCTGCTTTCAGTGACTGACATCCCATAGCAATATTCTTCATTTAGGCAACCCAAAAGCTCAAATGTCTTCCAAGTTTTCCCTTGTGCCGAAGTAATCCAGTGCCAGAGTGTGCTGCCCAGCCCGTGCAGACTATAATACCTTTGGCCGTAGTTTGACACATAGCCCTCGGCTATATCTACACTGCTAAAAGAGAGCAAGGGATCAATTCCTGATGCCATGGCCAACTGCCACAGACTGGCTCATGTCCTCACTGCCTGTGGCTTGTTGCTTCTCTAACAGATTTGCCTTGGAGACAGCTAGTCAGTGCAGTTTACAGTGGATCCACATAGAGAAGAAGAGTTAGACAAAAAAGGAGCTACCTTTTGAGACTAATTCAGTGCCTGGACTTAAGCTGGTAAGAGAATCAATAATAAATAAATAAATGAAATGCAAATCCACACTGATAGAAAGCCCTTCCAAAATGGTATCAGGATGCACTGGCCAGCACATGTTAGTGTAAGGTTGCCCTTTGAAAACTCTTTGGCAGTGAAGGCAGATTTTGCAGTGTGGTAACAGGTGTAATGGGACTTTCTTCCTGACAGCTGGGAAGAGGGCGTCATTGCCTTTATTTTCCCAGTTCTGCGAACAATGGGAACTCTTCAGTCCCTTTTCCACCTCCCCTGCTGTTAGCAAGGAGCTTGATACTGGCTACGGGCATTGCCTCCTTATAAGAAGTTTAGGTATGCCATGGTGTTCCTCCTGTCCATCCTCACAGCTTCTTCTTTATAAAGTAGTGAAATCCTTTGGTTTCTAAAGAAGGACTGCAAGTTACTTGAGAATGTCCCTTGAAAACTGTAAATAATCAAACATGAATTTGCATTTTGTTTCTAAAACTTCTGTTTACATTCATTCATGAATGGAGATTTACCATCATCAGCTCCACTAAAGAGTGGAAGTAATGCGTCTCGCAGTTAGGGGACTTGCCTAGGTGACAAAGGAAGACCAGAATAAAAATCCATATCTTCTCCTGCCCAATCCTTTTCACTGATCACACATCTCCCCTCCTGATTACGAGTACGTGGCCATTCTCAGAGGCAGCTGCACTTTGCCTGCAACAGGAGAATAAACAAAGGAGAAGTAAATCCTTTCTTTAATCTCAAGTGCAGAGATCATTTTTTCTCCAATAATAAGAAGCTTTCTTCTGAGGGTGCACAACTGCACCATTGGAGCATCTGTCTTGTGTCTTGGCACATGTTACAGATGATCAAAGCAGCAGCTTTTGTTTAAAGCAATAGAAAAACAGTGGCAGAACATCCAGGGTTGGATATAGCACCACAAAGCAAGGAAGAAACACAAGAGCGAAGCTGTATAAAATGTTTTTCAGCAGTTTGCTAGTGTGCAAAATAACAAGGTAGATCAAGTGACACAGTTCTGAAATAGTTTATTCAACAGACATTCTCCCCATTTTTGTTCTCCCACAAATACCATATATAGATTTTGGACATGTAGATTTTTTTCAGCATCTGTTTCTCAGTTCTGTAGATAATCAGTCTAACTGTCAAAATAATGTTGCTATTTTCCATGAGAGTGAGAAACAGTGGTTTTTTTACCAGTATTTTTCTTTGCTTGCTAGGCAAATTTAAACTCCATCACTAAATGAGCAATGAATAAACCTAGATACTCTGTTCATAAGTAACAATTCTCAAAATGAAGTAGATTCTATTCGTACTAGTTCTACTTTTATGCACACATAACATTGAATCAAGCAATAACTTTTTTGTAGTATTTCTGTGAGTGATTAATTCATTTCATACCACCAAACAGTACAGAGAAGGCAAACATTCTTAATCCACAACAAATCATTGAAATACGTATTTTCAGGCACCTGGTTCTTTTCAGGAACTTGAGATCTAAAGTATTGCTTGTGAGTAATCATCAGTATCAGTAATCTTCACATGATTTATTAATGCCTTGCTAAAAAGCTCTGATGTAACTGTCCAGCACTGTTTTCTTTTTTCTACAGGGAGAAGAAAATCCCAAGCACTGTCATCATCAGCTGGCTTGTGTCCAATAATTCCAAATTAATTTAAGCGGCCAAGAACTGAGCGTCAACTTCTCTCATATGTCAGGAGAGTAGGTAATAAAATAAAAGCAATCAGTCAGACTGCTCTTTACTCTGTAATAGTGGGAGGAGAGGGTGAGATCACCAGCTCTGCAAAGCTGAAGTGACCAGCTGACTTCTTTGTCTGCTAGCCTGCATGCTCTCCACTAGTAAAGCAAGAAAGGAGACATTTCTCCCTGCTACGTTGTGAATAGGCAGCTTTAACCTGTAGGCACTCTGCACGATGAAGCTAAGTGACCCAGTGACAGTCCTCCTGAAGACAGTTTATGCCTCTATAATTTTATTTTTTCTTACATCACACCTGTGGAAGGAAACAGCTTAGTTAATGAGTCATGCATAGCTTTAATTCTCATGGTTATGAATATGAGCAAGGCCCCTGAGAACACTGGAAGTAATTATGTTGTATTCCCTTCTGTTTTAGCTACTGGGGCTGACTTTGTTCACAGCTGATGTTACAAGAATTTCTTGCTATCTTTAAGTCTGGCACTTGCCCTTTTTCATTTGGAATGGCTTAAGATGTGCCATTTCAATTCTGAAGAACAGATGCAGGCATTTATTGCTGAGCTACCTTCTATGAAAGAAACAATCCTACCTCCTGAAGTCAAATTTTCCATTTTTTCTATTAATGCATTAAAATACTACATATCCGTACTGCATTGCAATGGACTACTTGATTTTGTGATTTCTTTATCCAAGACCAAAAGCAGTCTATTTCAATTTATATATAGTATGAGAGCCTATAGTTTGAGTTCAGTCTTCCTTAGAGTTATAGAAGACATGGTTAACACAAAACACTATGAACTGAAAGCATTCTTAAGATACAAGTCACACAGTTCTGTCTATTGTGTGTAAGAAGAGAAGATTTCATTTTTCATGTACCTAATAGGCTTCTATTTAAAACATGCCTATAAGAAGATATGTTATCAGTTAAAATCCAGCTTGTTTTTTTGATTTTTTTTTTTTTTTACACAATGAAAGAGAAGTTGTGCCTACTTGTAACTGAAACTCTCTTGTGATTTCCCCTGTAGTTTGGGGAAACACGAGTCGATAAGAGTTATTCAATAGTTCCCTTCATTTCAGCTGGAAAGGAAATATTTTAAAGTATCTCCAGTTAGAAACTGC